GGATGTGAAGCGATGTGATTCTCCCTGTAAGGAAACTACACAGGGGGCTTGCTTGATGTACTTGCAGAGGATACTCTAAAAAAACTCCATGATGGTAGGTGTCGGGAAAACTGCACGGTAATTACTGAGGCAGGTGATGCTTAATTTTTTTTTGGAAAAGGCACAATTAAGAGGGACTTCAAGTCTAAGGGGAATCAAAAGCTGAAGGGAGAATTTAAAGATGTCCAGACAGAGCTTTCTAAGTTGGTGAGCATGTGATTTTAGCATCTGACCTGAAACCGTGTCTTGCAGCCTTGTAGGTGTTGATCTTTCTCATGATGGAGGTGGATATTCTGTTATGCTGCTGCTTGGACAGTCAAAGTGTACATGTACAAAGAAGCTGTTTAAGGTGTCAGGGAGGGCCAGGTCATGGCAAAGCTGCTGGTCACTGTATTTACATTGGATGAACAAGATGCCTCATACTGCATGGGTTGTTGTTATTGTTCAAGTGCCCCATCGATGCACTGCTTCTATCTATACTTTGCCTGCTGGATTCCCTTTTTCAGTTTGCTCCAAGCCCTGCTGCATGTCCTGATCTGTTAGCTGTATCCTGAGCTTTCTGCAGAGTCCACGCTGTGCTGTCAACGCATGAAATGGGCGGAAGAAATATCTTGATTGTTTTTTTTTTGGGTAGGGCAGCAAAAGTAAATAAAGAACAGCACAGATGATAGGATAGCTTCACAGTTTAAAGCTGTTGTCCTTTTTTTGATAACTTTAGAATTGCATTTTTATTGGTCTTCCTCTGCAAAAATGTTTGACTACTTACAGAAAAGCATAGCCTCTAAAAAAGAAGAGACAAACAAAGAGATATACAGAGAAATCATCTGGTGATTGGATTGTTACAATTTCCATTTAAAACGTCATTCATTCAATAAAAAACAAACAAACTCAAAGGTACCAATTTTTACTATCGGTGAGATGTTTTAAAATAAATTCAAAGGAAGCCTTTAAGTAAAAGATCCTGAGCTACTCAGTTTATTGATTTGAAGCTTTAAATAATGAGGAATAATGAGTCAGAAATCAACCAATAAAAGGTAAATGGCTCATAGAAATAGAAGAAACATCAAACTACAGCGACTCATTTATATGTTTAGGAACAACACTGACTCAAGTGAAAGCCTCTAAATCTCTAGGGAATGCTCAGGCTCCAAGAAAGACTTTGCAAAGCTACTAATTTTAGATTTTTACCATTTTCCTGTCATGGATTTGACCATAATGGATCTGTAAATGTTGACAGATAGCTTATAATTATGTAATCATTTCTTTGAGGTATTGGAAACACACTCTTTTATAGGGACTCATACAAGTCAATTTAAACGGTCGGTGCATCTTTGGGACATTTGATTTACCTTCTAGAAAGGGTATTGCTGTAGAAAACCAAGAAACAAGTGGCTATTTAATTTTTGCTTTAAAATACAACAATTTTACATTTAAATATGAAGCATTTTTCTATGTCATAAAGGGATCCTAGAGTTTAAACGTTCTCAGCTGATGGTGTATGTTCTTACACTGTACAGCCTGACGCTCTGATGCGATCGACCTACTCACACTATAGGTCCAGAAATCACACATCGGACTTAGCGCCGAGAGATGGCGCTAGTTGGACCCGCCGATCTGGAATAAAGAATAAGAAGAACTCCCTTGTTTGCACATGCGCACTGCGTGAGGTTCTGGTAAATCAGCTTGTAAACGCTCATAACTCGTCATAACCCGATCGTTCCCAGAAGCACAATCCGTATCATCAACTCATTTGCGCACGTGCAACATGATATACATCCGGGTCGTCCTCTATTCTATTTGGTAAAAAATACCGTACCTAAATTATGTTTTTCCCTCCCCCAAAGTAGTAAGTGTACTAAACTATAATATGTTTAAGGTTAATAATGTGTTTCCTGAGAAAATAAATGCCTTAAAATCCTACCTGTTTTATCACTCGTCTGTGCCGGAAATGGGATCTTATGCTTTCCTCCGAGAGCTAACTTTTTCAGCTTTAGAAGATAAAGCTAGTCTTTTTGAGTTTTATTTCTTCCTTTTGTGTTAACATTATGGTATATAGTGCGTGATCTAAAGAAAGAAGTAACAAAAAAAAAAGATAAATATGGTTTAATCATATTTTGCCAGACTGCTCTGAGCATGTCCAATGATGACGTCAGACAAGCAGTGTAACGGATAAAATGTAAAAAACATCAAATTGTCTCAGAAAAGGTAATAAAAAATGTTTTGAAGTTTTGTATTAACATTCTTAAGTTATTTCAGGATTAAAATAAGTACTTTTAGTACCAAAATAACAATATTTTTGGCACCCCTGATGAATATCTGCTTGCGAAATCAGCCAAATGATCCAATAGTACGGATCTTGCTTCCAGTACATATCAGGTAGCGACACTGCTTTAGCAGCAGGATTCCCTCACGAACACCTTATGATGGCCGTCTGGATTTCAAACACGTTTGATTTTCTATTGACCTAACGAATCCTGATCAGGAGGTGGTCGTGAGAGGCTGACTACCCCTCGATACCCCCTGTATACTACACGACGCAGGATGCACGATGAGGCTGAAACTCGGCACGATCAAAAATATTCTCACACAACCGGAGAATCGGCCCGAAATGGGCAAACATTCGAACAGTTTATGCCCAGCCTTAGTCTGCTCTAGGGCTGCTGTGTGAGATGCTTTGGAGTACTCAGCCATGATAATTGTGGTTCTAGACTACATTACCCAGGAGGGCCAGAATGGGGCCCGTGTGGTTTTATGGTGGTAAAGAGCCAGAGAAATCGCTCCCCCCACAAAAACAACCAACCAAACGAACCAGCAAAATCAACAGGACAATAGTATACCATTGATTAAGTGAGCCAGTTAGCCACAGAGCCAGTTGCAGCGCTGATGCTCCTGGTTGCAGATTAATATTTCTTCCTTTTCTTTTTGTAATTCTTAAAGCTTTCTGAAAACACTTGTCAGTTGTGTGTTTTTATTCTACTACTGTATACTATCATAAGAAAATAATTTTGTGTTATTCAGTTAGTACAGAGGCCATAAAAGGGCACTGGCCCCTGCCTAAAACTGCCCACGAAAGTACAGATTTCTGTGACCAAATGCTGTGATTGCTGTAGACCTAAATACATTTTATTTTGGTCTACAGCAACAATGGCACCCTGTCACATTGAGTTCCACTAAAAAGTGACAATATCCGGTCTCAGAAAATGCCGACAGAAATCTTTTTTTTTTCTGTTTGAAAGAAATGTTTTTTTTTGTTTTTTTTTTGCTAATCAAAATATTAAGGAAACTCAAATAAATGTTTAGATTACAGCAGCCAGGTTTTTTTTTTCCCCATCTCATTTGAACACAGAAAAAATATGTTTAATTCTCTTTTAACATTTTGTATTTTTTTTTTTTTTACTTTTTGTATTTTAAAACAACAATCAAATAAAAACAGAAAACAAGTATTAAGATTATCATCTCTGAGTCAGGAAAACTCTTTCCTGTCAGTGCCATGCAAATTTTATTTTGCATGAAAGGACACTGATGTTTGTTCTAACATATTCAAATACAACTTTTAAATGTATTATTGACATTATTACTGACTTGAAATAGATTTTTTTAAACTGGAAGGATTTCCGATTGAAGAGTCTATCATGAGCAGCTGAACAGCAGATTTTGTTTATTAAATTCAGCCGGTTTGCACATATCCAGCAGCCTACTGTACAGCCTGGGGGGTTTGGTGAAAATGCTTATCAAGACGAGAGGCTGTAAGAGCCCAAAACAAAATAAAATGAATGTATTCTTTAATCATTCATTTTTCAGTATATTGAATTTCTGGCTATAAAAAACTGCTCTCCATTTTCTATATTTACAAACTGAAAGTTGAAAAAAGTAATTGTTTCTTGCTTTTTCATTGTTGGTTTTAAATTGAAAAATAAATGCAAAATTGAAACACAGGTTTACTTGACCCTACTGTATTTTTGTCTTTTGATATTGGACATCAGCTACAAGACTCAGAGGAGGGAACATCTGAATGAGAGGTTTTAGCAAAAATGGTGGTCCGTGGTGCATGTTCTATTTCTTTTAAACCATATGACACATCAAACAACTGAACATTTAATTCAGCATTTGTATTAATCCCTGACTCATAATTTTCATTAGCAGTTTTCCAAAACTAGGTTTATAACCGGCAGAACTTCTGTAAAAGTGAACCTTTTAATGAAACACCAAAGAATATTTTGCCATTTCAGTGTTTCACAGCAAAAAAGCAATTATATTTTAGCCTTTATAAAACTCCTACAGCACTAATGCTTTTTCAGGTTTTGCAGTATCCGAAGGTGTAATGCATGAGAGGGATTAAAAGACACCTTCAGCATTTGTCAGATCAGAGCTGGGGGGGAGGTTTTTACCTCACAGTGGGGGTAAAAGTATGCTGACAACCTCTGCAGGATAAAAAAAAAAAAAAAAAGGAAAAGAAAAAACGACTTGGCACCAATATTCTTACTTCACATTATTCTCTTCCAAACGGCAAACCTAGATACACAGAATAAGGTCATGTCTATAAAGTGTTAAGCCTGAAAAGGAAAAGATGTGCAGAAATGTAAAACTAATTAATTCTGCACACTGTATGCGTGTTGTGCATAATGCTTAACTACTGGATTACTTGTTAAAGAACAAAACCTGCTATCTATGGTTGAAAAGCTTCAACAGACACATGTGTGGGAGTCGTGGCTTGTGTAAAAAGAGAATCACTAAGACGCACATCTTTTCTTACCGCTGCTAATAATCATTGATTTGTTTTACTCCACAAAATACAAAGAGAATATGACTACATACAATATTGTTAAGGGGGATAGTTCTAAATCTAACACTAAAGAAAAACCTGTTAATTATTGGCGCTGTAGGCTTTTAAATAAGAGTATAACAGAAAAATTAATGAAGCTTAGAAACTCAAACTTTGAATACAAGAAATGTGGCCTTACCTGGGAGGACATGCCATGGCACGGGTAGAGGATGGCTTTGTCATCGTCCTCTGAGCCTTGGTCAAGGCAGTAACCACTGGCTTTACTGTTTCTCACCTGAAAGAAATCACGGTTTCACAATTAAGATTTGTTTCCATCAATAGGAAATTGAAGCACCTAGAGAATCAAAAGACTCTGTCGAAATGATATATGTATAAAGCAATATTGAAGGACCTCATTACTTTCATTTTGCACCTTTCAGCTGAACTCTTTTTTGACAGACACGTTTTAACGAACCTTACTACAAAAACAGTTTGACTAACTTGAAAAAATTTACTGTAGATTTTAGATATACACTTCATGGGAATTAAAAGGGAATTAAAATGGAAAACAAGTAGAACTACTAAAAATTATAGTTTAAAAATAAAATAGTTCTTTGTGAAAATAAGTTTGGTTGAGTGAAGGTTAGTTTTCATTGTCTACTTTCAAGACTGGGCTTAAAACATTGCTTTGTGATGGAGCCTATAGTTAGAGTGCATCAGGTTATCCTAAGCTGTCTCTATAGCTGTGATGTTATAGGCTAAGGGTGCCAAAACAACACTTTTCATCATTCTGCTTCATCCTATCTCTGTTCTCCCATTGTTTAGTGTTAGTTTAACCTCTAACTTTATGTTCTCTGGAGAAGCAGCATTTATTTCCTATTCTCTACTTGTCTGGAACAAACTCCAGGAGTTTTCTTTTTTTTGTCAAAAGCAATTTTTAAAGTTAAAAGCAATTTTTTTAAAACCTGCCTTTACTGATGTATAATCAGTTTAAGGTGATTTTCCAATTGTTTTATTTGTTTCACCACTTTTTTTTTTTTTTGTTGCTTCATTTGCTTTCTTTTAAAAAATGTTTCTCTTCTATAAAAAAAAAATGCCTTGCCATATTGATCAGAGCTTTTATGTTACTTGGTAAGTCTGCTTGTGTCTCCTTGAACCCCAGTCGGCCTCAGCAGAAGGCTGCTCACACTGAGCTTGGATCTACTGCAGGTTTCTTCCTTTTTTCCTCTCTACTGTTGCCACATGCATGCTTGGTGTGAGAGACTGGTGTAGTGTCAACGACATAATGCAAGCAAATATTTACAGTCTTTGCTTTGGCAGAAGAAGCAAATACCGGTACTGCAAAGTCAATAACTCAATACAATTAGCTGGGTTTCCCTGGGCAGAGAGCCAGCCTGACCCTATGATTGAATTGTCTCTGTAAAGTGCCTTGAGATAACAGGTGTTTTCAAATGGTGCTATGCAGTAAATTAACTGAATCAAACTCTTTAGAGTAAAGGTAGCGATTGTTTAAACTCTTATAAGTTTAAAGATAGTTACACTACATGCAATAGCATTTCTTAGTATTAATCCAGATTAGTTGGTTCCAGAAGACTGAAAATAATGTCTTATTTAAATATTTAAGCGGACTTAACCATTTTACACTAACTTCAATAAATAAAAAGTCATAGCAGTTAATGAGAAAGCTATATAAAACATGTGGAATTCGTACAGTGTTTATTGAGATGCAAATGTAATTACGTTGCAAATGCAAAGAGGAAGCGGTGCACCACCAATAATCTTCCCAAGAGAAACATCCAAAGGTGCTTCAAGAAAACCATTTGAATGATTTTTACTCTGCCTAATCTCTCTGTTATTTGGTTGATGTGATGGCATGTGCTTTTTTGTCTTCATTGCAGGTTTGAGACCAAATGGCTGTTAGTGAAAATAGTTACTGGTTTATGAATATAAATTCCAATGCTAATTTTTTGAATTTTTAAACATGGACTGTCAACTCCAATCTTAGAAGGCCAGGAGCTTTTTGATCTGTATCATGTCCAGCACAGCTAAATCAAAAGAACCAAAATCCCCCCTGAAGCACCCGTGTGCTAATGACCTTATTATTGGGTCCAGGTGTGTTGAGAGAGATACATGCAAAGGTTGAAAGACCCTGCCCCTTGGACAGTTAAAGTCTGACACTGTTGGCATAAAGATGTATAGCATAGCATCTGAGTAAAACCACTCTGATTCGTTTTTGCATTACACTTTTTGTTTTGAACTTACACTTGGCCATCCTCTGGCACATTTTATTAGAAACTCCCTGTACAAATCCCGAACTATTCCCATCAGTTTACTTCTTTTCAAATTACAGATCCTTAAAATGAAAATAAGTGGATACATAGAACAAATCAGGCTTTTGATAGATAACTAATATTAGAATGTAATAATTTCATGTATATGATTTGGTGCTTTTAACTGTACATATTCCTGATGAGCAGGTAGGACTTTTTATAGTAAAAAAAAAAGCCATTAAAGACCATATATATTTAAAAAATGTGGTTTCTAATTAACTACTTGCAGAAAAACCTACCTGTTATGAGTGAGCCAAAAAGCACAATAACCTACTTGCATACTGCAGGTATGCACAAAATTACCCTAATCTGTAGTTAACGCACATTTGATTTAATTTAGGTTTAAGCTTTCTCAATAAAGTCTCGTTTGGGTGTGCTTTGGTGGCACCAACATAATTATTGTAATCTAATTAAATAATCGGAGAGATTCTAAATTATAGATTGTCTTGGGCTCAAATCCTACTGAATGATACAAGCTCTTGAATTTGACATTTACAGTATTTGCTGAGGAACAAACACAACAACTCACCAGTCTAGCAGGTAGAAGCCCTGATCCCTCTGTCTCCAGTTATTTAACTAATGCATTTTCTTACTTTAATGAATTTCTCCTTTAAAATAATTCCAAAATGAATTAGTTAAGAAAGCAAAGAAGTATTAATACTAAAAATAAAAAAATACTTCCTTTTTATCCAGAGTTTGTTTACTCCGGCGTTACATACAATCTTAAAAGGGTTTGATGGGTTTCCATCTAAAATCTGAAATTTTTTTTAATTAAATCTCTTAATATGTGATGTGTTCTGGTTGCTGTGTGTCTGAACACCACATGCTGTAGAACCAAACCTGTTTTATCTACTATAACCTATCATTATTTGTCGGGTCTCTTAGGTATTGAGTAACAATTTAAAATCATATATCTTGTGAACCTTAAGAGTCTATCAGCATGCTTTTTGCTCTCTTTCGCCGTATGTGGCAAAAATGTGTTGTTGCTCAAAAATTAGTTGTATTTAAAGCTTGTCACAATTCCTTTAAGAATGATTTATGCTTTTTATCAGAGCAGCAAATAATTAAAGGAATTCTGTCTCAAAGTGTTTACTTTTAATCTGTAATAACACATTTTTGAGGTTTTTGAGATTTGTGTCAGGCCCAAAGATCTAATGACAAAAAAGTGACTTTTTTGCCTCCCAATTTGTTATAACAAATATTCCAGATAGTTATAGAAAATAAACCGTGTTTTGGCGAATAGAACATTACCAAAATCTTTTTCAGAAACAGCTGCTGCTCCCATGGTTATCTTTATGCAGCCCTGGTATTTAACTATTGTTTAGAGAAAAAAAAGAAAATAAAAAGACCTGATTCATTTACACAATATTTTGTTCACTCTATGGGGACTATAAATGTACCTATAGATTGAAATTATTCCGCAACTATGGTAACAATTCACACTATACTTCAGTTTGCAAAGAAATACAAGCACATACATTAATATGCCAATGAGGGTCATTCTTTAGGCTATTGTTGTCTTGTACCTATAATCATAATTTCTTCCAGTGTGCATACTGCACTGCCTCATGTAGGTCTACAATGGCTTATTCACAAAGCTGTCAGGAAGCTTCAAGTCATCCTGAAGGCCGGTCCATGATAGGATGTTGTCATGCAGCGACCAGTCACAAATTTCTCTCTCTTTGTCTCCTCCAGGCTAAATGATGGCGTGCATTTAGTAGGGGCCTTAGCTGTGATTTGAATTTGTATGGCTTAATTTCCAGGTTGTGACATTTCTCTCATGTGCTGTTGTTGGGAAGGGTTGCACTCGGCTGTTCTGAACAGCGAGACTGAGTGCAATGCAGTCCTGATGCTTAGTGACAGATGGGACACACGTCTGCTGCAGCTGCTGTGTGGCGGTGCAAGGTAACGGCTTCCCAGCTTGTCGACAGATCTGAAATAGTGCCACTTGAGTGGATGCCACTCTGAGAAATCCATTAGCTGGATACTGGAGCAAAAAACAGGCATCGAAGGAAACAAAGAAGGTGTAAGAATCCCCAAACGATTGATGAATATAAAAGGTAATTCTGATTTCCTAGACATGCAGGGGCTTATTGATATTCAAAATTTCCCATATCCCAAATGGATATGAGTTAAAAAAAAAAAAAAAAAGGCACATTTCGGTTAGCCTGAAAACAATGACTAGCTCAGGAGGGTGCTCAATCATTCAACCTCCCATAAAAAGCTTCTCTTCCCCTACTGGGCTGAGTGCTCAAGCAGACACAAGACAATCAAGCCGGAATGGAAAACTAATAAGTTTTTAATTAAAACTCATTATAGGGAAATTGTATCTAATTTTGTGAAGAGATTTTAGTCTGTAAAAGCTGCAACAGAAACTTACCCTGGACCTTGAAAAGTCAAGTCATGGTCTCTGTTTATCTTGTGAGATTTGAAGGTTAAGACATTTGGCCTGTCAGTGTCATATTCTCAGGCTAGTCATCTTCTTTAGTAACAATCTATTTAATGGCCATCTAAAAAAAGGTTTTATTTAATTTACTTTCACACAAAGGTGCTTCAGCTCTTTATCTATAACTAATGGCAGGGGGGAAAAAATAAAACTTCCTGATTTGGCAACCTTCCCATAGGAATACATCAAGTAAAGACATTTTCTTGCAGTCCAAACCCAATCATGGCAAAGTGGGATTGTACACGCTAACATGCTTGGTTAAAGCTACTACCAAGGCTTTTATGCAAAAAAAGTTAAGCTTAGGTCAGATACATAGGGCTGAGAAAACCCATTAACACTGCAAATAATTATCTAAAGATGAGCAATAATTTCTCAAAATAAGTGTATTTAACCTTAATATTAGTGGTTAAATAAGATGATCTGCCAAAGGAATTAGTATTTTTAGCCTTAAAATAAGATGATTGGATATTATGCACTTTAAATAAGAGACTGCCATTGTTTTTTCTTATTTAAAATATAAATTGTCTTATTCCATTGGCAAAGTGTCAACCTTATCTGTTCAATTCAAGAAAAAATATACTTATTTTAAGACAAATTCACTTATTTCGATTTCTATTTTTTGCAGTGTACCAACTTACTCAACTTTTTTTTAGATTCTCAAATTTTTATGTCAGACAAGTATATGAATTCATACGCACCGTTCAAAAATTGGCTGAAAAGACATTGTAAAGACGACATGATTTACGTCCAAACGTCTATATTTGGTTGAAAAGAGTAAGGTGCAAAGCAGTAATTTTCAGATTGTTGAAAAGAAGTTGAAAACTGGATTTGCAACTTCTTTTCAACAATCTGAAAAATTTCAATATCTATCATTGGACTTAAGTGGGACAAAAACCGGACCGACTAAACACTAGCCAATTTCCAACAATGATTTTGGACTAAATCAAGATTACTATGGACCGACCAGATTTAGCCTAAAAACCAACGTCTAAATGAGATTTTTTAATGGGATAATGTTTGCAAAGCAGACTTGTTAGCCTAAAAATACATTAATCTGCAGTACAGCTTTCACCATTAGCCCCCTGCCCAACCCAAAATGTATCAAAGAGTTGTGAGGTATTCTGAGTTTAGTCAGCAAGAATTAACAACTAGGTGGATGTAAGCAGGTGTGAACAAATAGCTCTAAAGACCTATTGTTACAGGGTTCCTACAGCATAAGGAAAGTTAAATTCAAGACTTTTTAAGACTCTTGAATGCCACTTGAAATAAAAGGTTAACACCAACTTCAAAATAAGCACAAGAAAAGCCTAATTGTGACAAATTTACCATAATGTTTTTTTTTTTTTTTTAAATAACCCATTACTTTTTTGGCCCAGTAAAAAAAAAAAAAGAAAAAGAAAAACTTTCCAAAGAGGAAAAAAGCTAAAAACGCATCCCAGTCTTATTTTGTCCTTCACTTAGAGTTTAGAAATCTATAATCAAACCACTTTTTTTTTGCTATTAAATCTTAATTAAAAAAAAATTATAACAAAAGGCTTTTTATCAACATTACCCAAGTTGTTTAGATAAAAAATTAGTGGGGGCATCACCCAAAGGCCTGACCGCAACATCGTTTTTATTGTTTCCGCTAGGGATGGAACCAATAATGGTTACAGCAAGCCATTTGGTAAATGTAAAAATGAAAAATAAAAAATCGCCAATTATTTTAATGTTTAATATAGATTACAAAACTAGAATCCTATTTATTACATGATAACAATTTTAGGACCTATGAAAAATTGATATAAGAAATTTTAATATCAACTAAGGCCTTACTTTTATACTGAAGAATTCAATGCCTTTCAAAGTCTTTTTAAGGATCCACAGGAACCCTGTAAAAGCACCAAACTACATGGATATCACCTTGAAGCAGAGTTGAACCATGATTCAGATACCGTAGGTTGTAGCACCAGAGGACCGATTGAGGTTTTGGTCCAGTAACAATAGTTCAGCCCTATTTCCAGTAGGAAAATACATAATCATCAGTCAAGAAATCTTCATCAGCTGTTAACTATCATATCAATATGGGCCAAAATCTGGAAGTAATGATCCTGACACCTTGATGAATCTATGCCAGAAAGAAGTAAGGCAGTTCCAGTGGCAATTGTATTTTAACCAAAGTCCTCAGAAAGAATGTTCCATAGTTTGTTTTTAGAAATAAATGTGATATCAGAATGTCCCTTCTCCTTCTTTTCAGTATTAGAAGTCATCCCTGTCTTATTTTGTTCTTCACTTAGTTTGGAAATCTATTTTTTGCTATTAAATCTTAATTAAAAAAGATCATAACAAAAGGCTTTTTATCAAAAGATTCTCAAGAGTTAATCTTTATAAGTTTATTAGATTTGTTAAATCAAATTATCCACCTTTGCTTTAGCTTCCTCTTTAAAAACTGCGCCTTCTCTATAATTGGATCAAAGCTGATATTATGGTTGAATTAACATTCAGTCTATTTCCAGCAATCCCTTTAGCAAGCCCTTGTCTCACCTCGCCGTATGTGATGGTGTTGTTGTAGATCCGCATCTCTGGGTAGACGTGCTCTAGGTACCAGCGAAAGCTCCGACATTGCATCCTTTTCCTCAAGGCCACACGCTCTGAGACATCTCCAAAATCAACTCCTGGGTTCTGTTGAAATTTTCAAAAGAAAAGCAGAGAAAACAAAATACATAAAAATCTGACAAACAAACACACAGCATAGATAATTCTTCTCCAGAAAAGAAAGATGTAATAGTTATAGAGTGCTAAGAAGACACAATTTGCATTTAGGTAAGAGATGAATAGATGCGCTCGTGATTTGAGACCTTCATTGTTCCTCCATTAGACATGATCTGCACTTAGCAAACTCTAATCAACTGCTTGATTATGAGTGCTCACGGCCAGATAGCACTATGGAGGATGGTGTCTGGATTGATTGGGTGAAGGCCTAATAGCTGAAACGCCTCAAGCCTAATTCTGACACTCACACACACACACACACACACTGTGCATATCAATAAATGCACACACTGCCCTGCATTAATATGGACTCATATAGAAATGAATACATTATGTATCGCAGCAATCCTATAGAGATGACTTCTACAGAAACACACAAAGCTGTTTCCAGATGCTGTTTCCAAGCAATGCCTGTTCTATTGCCAACTATGAAGCCAACATGTGTCAATAATGAATTCCAGTTAGAAATATTTCCTTGTTTCTTGGCTACCAGAACACCAATACTCACATTCAGCTTCAGTGAGTTGCTGTTTGGTATTTGGACTCAGGGCTGCTCACTGTGGTGAATCATAAAGCCCTCTCCCTTCGAAGTAATTGTGCTCTCAGCAGGCATCTTAGACAATAACAAGAGTCTGTGAGTGTGTGGGGAACTTTGGAGGGGTTTGATGAAATAATCGAAGCATTAGGTCTTTACTGTAGACAGAATAACTCCACACCACAGGAAAGCTGGGGTAATAACATGCCATGCCACTGTGTATGGGGAGTGCAAGTTTGTCACCTGCTGCATTCTTTTCCCACAGAACCTCAATGCTTCCTGCTGATTTATGTTTGTCTTTTATACAGTTTCTTTTCAGCAGAGTGTTAATCAGGGCTGATGGAAGTACTTTTGAACAGGGGGTGCTGTGCACATTTTTTGTTACTTTTGGACAAAAGACCTATGAACCTATTGGCCTATTTAAAGTACAATAAAAATAAATAAGAAAATAGATTGAGATTCACTACGGTATTGTCATATAGACTTCAAGGCACGCAACCAGGGTCTGTAAGACAGAGATCATCAGTTTTCAGGTGAATATATGCTCTACTAATTAAATTTCACAATAACACAATAACAATATAGATTTGTTCAGCTGGCATGAACAGTCACTCTATTTATGTCACACATGACTATTAGTTCCAAAATCCTTTTACGCAAACCAAAAGGAAGTAGTTAGATTAGTAAATGATTAAAACCTTATTGAACCTTATTCTCCACATCCATTACACAAAGAACACAAGATCAAAACAACACTATAATATACTATTGTTGCCTTAAACTGCACTAATATATATAAAAGTTTGCAGTGGCACCATGCTCTTACTTTGTGCTACAGGCAGGGGGCTGGCTCATGAGTGGACGAATCTGAAATCCATTTCTGTGCCATATTTCCTCCTCGTTTCTGTCACTAGACTATGTACATTTACCAGCTATAGCGGCATACCATGCACTAGCTTGCCTAACGTTGCCATGACAATGTAACTTCCTTGAACTTGTGTTTATTAGGCATCAAAATAATTATATTAAAATCCAAATACAAGTAAGAGTAAAATTAAAAAAAGTCAATGTCATTTCCCAAAATTTTCATAATAAATGTATAAATTGTGCAAAGTATGTTTTATACATTATACATTAAATCGCCCTCTTGCCACTAGAAGGTGCTGCAGCACCCCCACTTCTCGCGGCCATGTTGTTAAAAGTAGTTATTAACAAAAGCTGTTCATTGTAATTCTCTGGAACATGCTATTTTTTGTAATATTTTTAAGGTCTTAGATGTGCTTCATTTGTAATCATATCCTCCTTAGCACCAGAGGGGAAAATTAGATTTTAATATTAAACTCTCCATTAAAAAAGCAGGAGCTCAGTATTTAGCAGCTCATCTCAAAAGACTTTAGCAATTAAAACTGATTCAAGGTTTGTTTCTTTAACTTGTTGATCCCTTCTTCATACTCAGTCTATTACCTGTGTGAAGATCAGGCTGGGTCTAATCTGAGTTTTGAATGTCTACCGATTAGTGTCAAACTTGACCTGTGGATTTGAATGAAGAACTGAGATGTAAGGAAAGGGGCACCCCAGAGATTGAGGTGCAGAGTGATCCAAAAAAGAAAAGGCTTACATTCATGGGAATGTTCCAGGCCATGTAGACGTGGGATTTGTATTCATCCATCCACACTTCAGCCGCTCTCAGGGCATTGCGTTTCGCGTAGTAGTCTATATCGTTGTTGTAGGGTTTCTTGGTGCGCTCAATATGGGCAACTCTGGCACAAGGCAGGACCTCCATGCTCCCTCCACACTGCCAAACCTAGACAACATAAAAATTAATGGTTGGAATTAAGTAAAGAGTCATGAAGAAATACATTTTTATTTACCCCCCACATTTCTCCTATCTTTGCTTTTTTTTTCCCAGATCAAACTAAATGTTATCCATCTATTTTCTGTTACGCTGGTCCCAAGAGGGGTGCTGGGGTCATCTCCAGCTGTCTACGGGCGAGAGGCGGGGAACATCCTGGACAGATCACCAGTCAATTGCAGGGCAACACAGAGACAAACAGGACAAACAACCCTTCATGCACACACTCACACCTAAGAATAATTTAGAGAAGCCAATTAACCTAACAGTCATGTTTTTGGACTGTGGGAGGAAGCTGGAATAACTGGAGAGAACCCACGCATGCTCAGGGAGAATATGCAAACTCCATGTAGAAAGATGCAAAATAACCCAATTTAATACAATAACTCCAATACTTTAAAATTTATTGAAGAGGACCTTTGGCTAACCCGTTATTACAGAATTTTCGGAAACAATCTGATAGACTGAGGGGTTTCTATGCATGAAAGGCCTGTTTTGAATTGAACTGAATTGAATTTAGCAATTTATGATTTTTAATTATTGAGAAGCGGAGATGATGTTAGTTTGCTTTGGACGATTTTTTTACTCCATAAACTCATTTAGTTGAGCTTATGGTCAAAGAACTATGCTCTGTCTAAACCAAAATGGTTTGGTAGAGAGTGGGATTCATGGTTTTATCATAAGCTGATGTTACATGTTCAAACCTGGTAAAAAAGTCTTCAAAAAAGCTTTTTACAAAACCTCCTATCGTCACACTGACTATTGGACAAGCAAATGCCATTTCCAACATGACCTCAAGTACATTTATCACCTAAACCAATGGGAGGGTCTAAAAGTCACCAAATAATTCAAAATATAAAAATGACAGATTTTGGCTTCAAACTAAACAAAGTTTATTCATAATGTCTAAAGAAAGAAAACTAAATTGATGGAACTTACTATTTATAAAATTTTACATAAACACCTTGTTTACCCAAATTATAACCAATGATGTACAAATCCTAAAGCAAAAGCCCCCCGAGGGTATGAAACTACCACTATCATGCTTAATTGCACAATAGGTATAACGTTCTTATAGCCAAAAAGGCTGTTATGGTTTTAAAGGGGGACAAATAATTTCTTAAAAGTAAAATGTTTGTCTCATCATTATCTGACTTTTGTTTAAGAAAATGATTCATTTTCTAATGTATGATCTGGTTAAATTGTCTCTGCTAAGTGCCTTGAGATGACATGATTTGTGAATTGGCGCTATATAAATAAACTAAACAAAACATTTTATTAATGTACATATTTATACACAGGAACAAAATGTTTGAAATACACCATCAAAAGATACTAGTTAACAGGGCGTTCAGAAATGTTTCCAGAACTTTTTCACCCGTAGTTTTGAGATGGCATTTCGTAGCATGAAATCAATATACAGATGAATGTATTAAGACTATAGGTAACAAACCATAAGGTTTCCATGATATTCCAGAGTACTTTAAATTTTTTACCCATAAAAAAAATGAACAAAACTTTGCTTTGTTTGTCTAAAAGCTCTATCAATATTTAGGCATCTGCCATGTCTATTTTCTTACCCAGAAAACACTTCAAAAGGTCTGAATTGATGGGCATAAAAATATGTTTACACATGCAAGCAGAGAACTGATCATATTCAGGTATAGCCCTCTTTTTTTCCATTTAAAAATCTCATGGGCTTCTTTGGTAAAAAAGTCAGATCTTAGTACTATAGCAAACACTGTGACATGAAGATGCATATGCATTTGGAGTTACAGCCCATGCTGATTATAACTACTAATAATTGATAATAATTGCTGTCATTGTAATAAACTATTATTTTTTTAATTATTGTCATTATCAGGGTCTATATTGTTTTATCATTACTGCTATTATTTTTCTAGGATTAAATTAGGTGAGTGAATAATCAGGCTAGAGAAAAATTCCCTTCGGCTGGTCCCATGTTTTGGGGCTGTCACAGCATGTCTTTACAATTCTTACACTTGGCAGAGCTTATATTTTTTTTTCTGATGAAACCAGGACTGAAAAATGAGGGAACTGTGAATTATAATCAGGATAAATGTTTTATAAAGCTCACCAACAGCTCAATAACTGACTCCCCAGAGAGTTACCACTGACAACGAGAAATCCCTCATACTACAAGTTTATGGTAGAGAGAGTTATACGAGAAACCCTACAATGCATAAATCTAATTTTTGAAAGCATCCGTCAGTGCAGAGAGAAATCATTTATTCTAGTCAAAGGGATGCTGTGATCATTGACTACATGCTCAGGTGGAGAAGCAGAAAAGTTATTTTTCAAAGCCTAAAAACTGCCGTAACAAGGTCTATCTTTCTGACATAAAGCATCCCTGTCTGGGAATCTATGTCATGCTGAGGTAAATAGAGGCAGCAGCAACATCCTGACACAGTGTCGCCATAAGGCCAGAAAGCATGGTAATGTTCTTACAGCCACGCAAACTACTGTCGCCTCCATCACCCACTGCGTCCTAATGATTATCACCACAATGTGTAACAGATGCTGCCATTCATTAACATCTCTGTGAACCCAAAAGGAAGCCTACTGCACAGTGTTTAATGTGAATAGTGCTGGAAAACCCTTTATCCAGCTACCTGAAAAAAGGGAGAGAAGCCGGTGTGGAACTCTCAGGATTTAATTAAGGATCACTAGGATAAATGTAGCTTCTAGTTTAGGTCATGATAACAACAATTCTACTTGGCTGTAAAATGCTTACACTGAAGGTTAAATTTTGCTCATCATCCCATGTCTCTCATCAAAAAGTTTCTACACTAGATAAGCCAAAAAATTCTAACTATCATACAGGATCAAAGATCAAAGTACAAACTGGTGCTTTTCCATAATATGGGATAACATTTTTATATTCTATAATGTAAATGGAGACCTGACTCATCACCCGTGCCAATTTCCATGCACTGACTCACTAATGTGGTCCAAATAATTATAAGAATGGACATTTATAACACACCTGAATGAGAAATATTAACCTTTGTATATGAAAAGTATGTTTTCGGGGAGACAATTTTCTTGTTGTAAGCTGTACACGTAACTTTGGAAGCAGTATGATTTATTAGCACATAATATGTACATAGCAATGGAAAATCTCCCTTACAACTAGGGGTTTTAGTCAACCATCTGTTGCCATCTTTTTGTTAAAATGGATTGCATGTTTGTCAAAATAAGATATTCTACAATAAGGTGAGAGAAAAATAAGATCAATAAAAAACATATGCCAAAATTTAAGATTCAGATTTCCTTGTTGTCAGCTCATACATGTTACATGAAATGTTTAATTTGCAAGAATGCATGCCGTGAAGCTGAGAATAGAAGTTATATCTTGGCAGTGTAACAAATATTAATCCCAAATTTACAAGTACAAATTACAAATTCATGGGTACAAATCCACAACCCCTGATGAAACTGTTGCACTCCCTATTAGATGGTGGTGCACCTGAAAGATGTTTCTATATTGCCTTTTCATGAGGAAACAAGAAACAAGAAGAAACATTACACTATGAATGTACGAAAACAATATTTCAATCAATGGTTTTGTTTTTGGCTTCCACTTCCTGTTTAATGGCAGTTGCAGAACAGCCTTCAGGTGTATTACATCAACTGGCAAAGAGTGGAACAGCTTTAACGTGGGTTTTAAATTTGTACTCGTAGAAGTTGTGTTGTAAATGTGTGATCTTTACTTGCAGTTTTGCAAAGTTGTATCGTTGTAAGGTATACTTGTAACTTCTTAACTTGTCTTCTTACATGAACCACATGATGTCACTTATATCAGTATGAATTGAGAAATCTTTGACTTGAAGTTTTCTTACTTCATTGTATTGATAACCAAGCCCAAGCCAGAAAGATACTGTGTAGATTTTAAATTGAAATTCATGTATCCATCTCGAAAGTTTTCACAAAATGGAGGGACCTTAATCACAACTCTTGGAGCTGACTGGATAAATCAAGCGGCAAATGTCTCTGACGAGCTTTGAGCCAGTGGCAGCAGTAGTAACAATTGTGACGTCTCACGTTTTTTGATTCCTTTCACAACTAGCGGAGTTAACTGATAAATCAAACTTTCACATTAATCCGGTCAGGAGAAACCAACAAACATCTTACCCATCAACAAAGGCAAAAATCACGTCTTTTAGCTCATTTTTAACAAGAAATTTTCCAGCTGAAACCTGCGCAGCCATATTTGTTTTACTTCAGCTTCCCGCCTCTGGTTGACACGTTGACGTCATACACATCACTGCATTTCATTGGTCCGAAACATTTCTGTATCGAAGCTAATGCATCTGTTGGCTTCTGGCAAGATGTTTCGGGAACTGTTCAATGCACAAATCTTGTGACAATTCATTTTCATTAGCCAGACTTCTAGTTAGCTATTTGCAATGCACATATTGAGTTAACTTTATTTGTCAGTTTGTTATATTTTGGTTAAAATGCAATTGATTAATTCCTTTTTCTTTGAGTTGCCAGTTTACTTCGGAGCTGCAGCTCCTTCTTATTTGGTTGTTGCAGCCCAATCAGCGGGTCACACCACTTGTTGAATTGGGAAGGGAAATTTGTTTATCATTTGTTTAGATCTTCTTTTTTTAACAGTTTTGTTAATATTCGTTCTCTTTAAAAAGTACTTAGTGTCTGGCCATTATTTGACTATTTAAGTATATTTGTTTGTTAATCAGTTATCCCCCTTGTGTGTCAACAGTGGTGCGATCAGCCACTATTTAAGTTTACCTCATGTCTTGTTTGAAAAGTGAGTTTGTGCTTGAGTTCTTTGTGTTAATAGGGTGGGTATTGAGTTCTTTGTGTTATATATATATATATATATATATATATATATATA